ACCCCCAACGGGTATGGTGGAACACACAAGGGGAACAAGCCCCAGTACCAAGAGGTTACCTCAATAAGCCTCTTCATTTAGCTCCACAGCCATATACTTCTCTGAGCTCTTTATACAGTAGAAATGCCTACACATAGGACATTCCCAATTACTTAAAATTCATAAGAATACATGCAAGTTACCAACTATATAAGCATGATTCCAATCACTTACCTCACTCCCACTTGGTCCAGGACCAAGGGCAATCCACCGACTCACGGTTCGGGGTTCAAATCAACGTACGACAACCTACAACAACCATGTACGAATCATCAGTACACGACAATTCTATCAGAACGCGAAAAACGTCAAAAACCTCCCCTACACCCTTATAGGTTCGGCCTTTGAAGGCTTATTTTACAATTTATTTTTCTAAATTTTCTTTCTCATTTTATTAAGCATCCTTAGGTTACCAAAAGGCCATACCAAGTGCCGTTTTTCATTTTACGTCTTTTAAACGTCGTTTTGCTTAATATCTCACTCTAGGATCCTTTATGACTCTCAACACCATCAATTATTTCTCATTGATGCTCTAACCTTCCAACCACCACACAACCCATCTAAATACCATTTAACACATGATACATCATCTAAGCAATACCAACAACATCAAATCCTTAATTCTCTCTAAATGGCCGAATTGTGCCTCAATGCCAACCAAGGAATTCTAATCAATTTTAACCACCCAACACCTCATACAATCCTATTATTCATCATACAATCATACCACAACTCACCAATACAATCCTAACACATTTTCAAAACTCAAAGTCATGACACTTCTCCAATTCTTCTAAGTTAAAAATCATACTTTTCACCAATACTTTTCATTGCATTTATAGCTCTAACACATCATTCTAAGACATTATCATCTAATACATATTTTCCAATTGAGCTCTCTAAACACATCAATCACAAAATCCCTCTTTAGGGTTCATGAATTCAATCACATGATTAAGTAGTTAAAATGCAAGGAAACTCACCCAAATGCTTGGCACAAGACTCCTCCTAAATATACTCTATTATTGGAGCACTTAGAAGCTCCATGAACATCAAAATTCCCACCAATTTCGTGACTGATTTTTGCCTATATCTCACCAGTGAGAGGGTTTCGAAGCTAATGGATACCACCAATGTGTTTGGAAGGTTGTTTCCAACAAATTTCAACACAAAAATCACTTCATTTGGTCAAGTATTGATGGTTTTAGAAGGAAATGAAATTTGAACTCAAAATGTCCAAGGGAGGGGGGCTGGTCGGTTTTCTTGGAGAGAGAAAGGGAGATTAGAGTGATAATGAATAGTGACAAGCTTATGTGTTTAAGTGACTTTAAGTGGAATGGATCTCACCGCCACCTCACACGATTTAAAATTAATTCGAAATTCCACTAACGTCCATAAATTCACAACCTATTTAGAAACTATAATTTTTAACATTAACCATTGTCCTTCAATTATGCTTGATCAGATGAATCCGAAGTTTTTCGGTCGTTCGGAGAAAATGCTGTTTTAAGTTGTTGCGCGCGCCGTTGGCATGCTTCCCCAAACTTACTCAATTCCATCAAATTTTATCAGAAATCATATTTCCTAGTTCTATAGACCATTTATAACTCATATTTAAAACCTAGAGCTCAAAACTCAATCAGCACACTTTACGGTGCAACTGTACCGCGATATTTTTACCTGGTAAAAACATTATTCACTGAATTTTTTGAAACTTGCCTAACCACTCAATTTTTCGTTCTGAACCCATTTCCAGGGTTATTTTTATCATCTGAGACCTTCTACTCAATTTTTCTCTTCCTATGGTTGCGTGTTGGCTAATTACCGTTTTGCCCTTTCTTTGTACTTTGGCCTAATTTTCAGGATTTTCACTAATCCTTCCATTTAATCCTCATTTAATATTTTAATACTTAAACTTAGGAATGCGAGGTGTTATATGTTTGGCTATCTATTATCTCAAGAAGCCTTGAATACCATTACTGGTTTTTATCCTCCCAGCCCGAATGAAGAAGATGACAGAATAATCTGGGATTTATCCCAGGATGGAAGCTTTTCCACAAAATCTGCTTTCATTTTGCTTTGCAATGATAATGAATATGACCATCAAGTCTAACGGAACATTGTTTGGGAGTGGGACGGGTCTCCTATAGTGAAAATATTTCTCTGGATGCTCTTTGGGGAGAATATTCTAACAAATCTGAGAAGAATGCAAAGACATTTGGTAGCCTCTAGTGTTTGTCCTAGATGTATGGTTGCCCCTGAGAGTTGTCTTCATGTAATGAGGGAGTGCAGTTGGTCGAAGAAGGTTTGGAAGTCATTCATAAACCCTGAGAAATGGTAAGAATTTAATGATCTGCCCCTTCAAACTTGATATGAAGCCAGCTAAATGCATGTTGGAGGGAACTAATGGGAATATTTTATTTGGTTTAGTTTGCTGGTTCATATGGAAAGAAAGAAATAAGTTTGTTTTTGAAGGAGAATTTCCTTGTGAGGGCGTCACTGCCAGATTAGCTTGTTCTTATCTAGCCAATTTTATGGAAGCAAAAGCCATGTATAGCAAAGTTGGTCTACAGGACAGAACTAGAAGGGAAATTCTAGTGCATTGGTTACCTCCCCCCACAGGTTGGATAAAAGTTAATTTCGATGGCTCATCTAAGGGGGATAGCTTGCAGTGTGGTTGTAGTGGAGTTCTAAGAGATGATGCTGGTCATTGGCTGAAGGGATTTGCTAGGAATCTTGGAGCTTGCAGCTCTGTCAAAGCTGAGATTTGAGGGTTTTTACTGGGGCTTCAAATGGCTTGAGACCTTGGTCATATAAGAGTTATCTTAGAAGGAGATTCGAAGATAGCCCTTGATATGATCAGAGAAGGAGTCTCTATCAACCATCCTTTAGCTGGTCTTATTAATAAGATTAACCAGCTTAGGAATCATGATTGGCAGGTGAAATTTATGCATATATACAGAGAAGGTAATAGGACAGCTGACTGGCTTGCTAACTTTGCTAGTTCTTTGGGTTGGGAGACTGTATTTTTTGACCATCCTCCTGAAGGATGTGTGGAAGTTTTTGGGAGTGACTTTAGAGGAGTAGCCTGGCCTAGAATGGTTAGAGATATGTAGTTTGTTTTGTTTTTTAATTCCTTTTGTATTCAAAAAAAAATCTTTTTTTCCTTCTTTCTCCTCACTTCCTCACGCACCCTTTGTCTCTCCTCCTCTTTGTCTCTCCTTTTGCTACCAATACTTATACCTATTTTAAATCATTCGTCCACATCCTTCTAATCTCTCAATTTCTATTTAAATTTTTTTTGATCTACAAGCAACAGATATGAACGCGGATTCATAGTGAATACCTATACCTATTATTGAACTCTTTGTAGTTGTCCTTGTCCTATTCATCGTGGAATGGAGATAGTGACTATAATAACCCTAATTTTATGACTTTTAAATTAGATAGTTATGATGAGGATCTTATGGTCATAAACAGAATGAGAATGAAATTCTAAGAATTTTGATACCCATGTTAAGGGTATTCTAAACAGTTGAGTTTTCAACTGTTATTTTTAACTGTTGACACAGTAAGAGTTTGTGAAATAGTCCCAATCTAGCAAATCTGAAATAGAGAGCTAATCTAATGATATAAATATCATTAAAGAGGTTAGAATATGAAATGGTGAAGATTGATACCCATATTGGGGTATTTCTTAAAAGTCACTTTTACCGGGCGGTAGAAACAACTGATAAAATCCCGGAACGGGAAAAAGATGAAGAAATGGAATGAAAGTCCAATATATGCCTAACAAGTCATAATTAGACCAAAAATATTAAAGTGAAGTTATACGTAGATAAGAGAACAAAGTTCAAATTACTTGGACAATTTAGTGTAAAAACGTATGGAAGTAAAGTTGATGATGTTGTCATAATTTTACTTAGTAGTGAGTTCAGTTTTAAATAAATCATATCTCACTTATTTCTTAGTCAAATTGAATGTGTGAGGTACCAAATTGAACCATAGGATGTCTAGTTTCTTGTCCTAAAATATGAGAATTTTAGGAGCTCACGTTAAAGTTTTCAAAAAAAATCAGTGAGCATTGTTCATTCCCGTCACAGTTTTTACAGCAAGCAACAATGAGTTTGCGAAATTCATATCTCCTTCGTTACTTAACGAAACAAGATGATTCTTGTGCCAAATTAAAGATAGAGATGTCTATTATTTGTCATAAAAATTTCAGAATAATCTGGGCAGTATATCATTCCAAAATAATTAAACAATCAGCGAACCTGTCAAGCGACGTTGGATTTTCAGCTTACTACTTACGGCGGACGTATCTTGGGCTGTACTTGTCAGAATAAGGCTTATGATATATCGTTGGAAAGCTTGTGACATGTAGATTATGATGCTTAAGTATAAGGATATTAGGAAAATTCTGGTAGGATGAGCATGAATTAGTGTTATGTTACATCTCAAAGTTATTAGTCTAGTAATTAACTAGTTTCTAAGGTTACTAGTTTTATTGGTGATGAATTAAATAGAAATCTTATTGCCTTCCTTTTGATTCATGATCAGCCATGTAGAGCCATGTGGAGTAGGACTTAGTGTCTTCATTATTTATCAAAGTTGGTCCCTCCATTAATTTTCAAAGTTTTGTCTTCTCCATTAATTGTTTTTGGATACATCCCTTCATTAATTGTTTCTGGATACATCCCTCCATTAATTAGTAAAGCTTTGTCTTCTTTTTTTTTACTCATGTGGACTTGTCTCCTCTTCCTTTAGTTAGTGATCGGACCAATAAGTCTAAATGGGAGGGAATCAATTGAAAGAGAATGATATACTGGTTGAGAAAGTGGACAAAGTAGATTTAAGCAAATTAGACAATGCCTTAGCTTATTAGTCATTGGTTTTCATTGTTGATGACCAAACATTTTCATTTTGTATTTCCTCTAAAATCATGACAACCTTAAGGGAAATAAGAAGCTAGTAAGTAGAGTCTTCTCTCTAAAATTGGAGCTTCAAACTTTTCTCTAACTTCTCTCTAGAATCTCTCCTTCAAAACCTCTTCAAATCACCAATTTTCCTTCACCAAACTTGTTCTCCTCACTCACCTCTTCACAACCATACCATTTTCATGGTGTGAAGCAAATTATTGTGGTTAATATCCTCATGAACAGCCATGGCTTTGAAGGTCCAAGGAGTTATGGAGTTATGTTCTTGAGTTCTCTTGAAGAGTATCACTTGTGTTCTTGATTCTCTTGAGTTTTGTGTAAGTTTCCTAAATATTTCTTGAAAAATCTCATATTTCTCTCTTGTGTTCTTGAGCTCTAACTCTTGAGCATATTTTTGAAGGTGTGTTCTTGTTTAAAGGATCATCCTTGTTTGTAAAAAGTGAAGCTTGGAGCTAAAGGTGTGAGTTTTGAACCAAGAAATGGTTGATTGATGTGTAAAGGTATAATCTTTGAATCCTTGTATGGATTTCATAGAAAATGATGAACTTGAACCCTAAAAGAGACACATGACGATTCTGACCTCTTGAGTATAAGGTGGAGTACTTGTGTTAAAAATAAGATAATCATGGATTAGTAGATTAATTAAGTGTTGGGACTAATTAGTTAAAGAAAGGACAATGAAATGAACTTAAAAATCTTAGTTTATACCCTAACTTGGGAGGGTGATATCTCCCTGATCCCTTGGTAAAATGAGGCTCATGATACCTCATTTTAAATCTAGAGATGTAATTTATATTGTCCTAAAATTTGAAAGTATTATCTGTTGTTACTTGTCCAGAAAGTGAATTTGAGTCCAGACTGCCCAAACTCGCATAGTGCAGGAACAATTCTAAAGGTCCAACTTGTAAAATTCATATCTCTCTCATTACTTACTCAAATTAAGCTTATGATACCTCAAATTAAATCTATAGATGTATACTACAACATATTAAAATTTGAGAGAGATCAGATTTCTGAAACTCTCACAGGAACGAAAACAGTGAGGGATGTTGGGATTCTCTGCACTGCCTAAAAACAGATTTGTGAGTTGAACTTTCAAAAATCATAACTTGAGCTATATAGCTCTGATTAAGGTGTGTGATACCTTGTTGGAAAGGTAATTGAGTCTAGATTAATATACTAAAAGATGAAAATTTTATAACTAGTGAGTTGTGCACAGTGACTGGAAAACAAAAGCATGTACAGATATGAGAAAATAGTAAAAGTGAGATTTAGGCTAAGTGGGCTTATAGGAACCCCTTAGTAAAAGTGAGTATATATATGGCTTGGATGCGTGAAAATAATCTAAGTTACCTAAGTAAGCCTAAAATGTGATTCTAATTTATGTAAGTGATTGAAGATTGAAGTTGAAGGTAATAATGCACAAAAATACGTAATTATATAATAATTGGTCTAGACTTGTAAAGGGCATCATATTATTGGCATATAAGTATGGAAAGTGGAATCATTAAATGGTTAAGTCTTGTATATGACTTGATTAATTACTATGTAATTAATGATGTGAATGATTCCTACTCTAGGTGTACCTAGAGATCCTTGCACTTGAGGATTGTATTGGAGCATACGTATAATATTGGAGTTGGGCTTGATAAGCTCAGTGAGGTAAGCTCTTGGTTCTGGTTGCTCCTCTCTCTTGTGGCTATACCATTATGGTGGGCATTATGGTTGTATTGTATGAAAGTATGTGGTATACTGTATATGTGCATTCATTCACATTCATATAGATGTTGTATGATCTTGATGTTATGATGATGCACTGATGATATATGTTATGAGGATCCTGGCTAGTGATAAAGATATGTAGGCTGCCTATGACTTGACTCTGGAAGCTATTTCATACAGAGGTTATGTTGACTGTCTATGGCTTGACCCTGGAGTCACACATGTGTAACCGTCTATGGCTTTGACCTCGGGGTTACACAAGAACGATATGATGATGCTATGTTTATGTTGTATGATTGTTATATATAAAGGAAGTGGGCTCAGGGGATTAGAGAATTCTCTAAGAACCTTGAGTTTACTGAAATGTGGTTATCTCATCCCGTTTGGGAACATCATTTCAGGTACTCAGAGTAGCAGTGATGCTTCTAGAGGCAAGGCCCCCGCCTTGGAGTAGTTGATGATGCTGCTAATTATTTATATTATGACTAGACTCTGTGATGACATGTATAATCATTAACATGTCCAATTATCTTATGTTGAGATTATGTTATGTATTTACTTTGGCTCATGATAATTAGACTTGATGTATGTATTCAGTTATTTGGACTTGCGAGCTGTTTGTTTAATTATTGTATCTATCAGATAGGGGTGTTCATCAACCGATTCAAACCGCGGTGACCGAACCGAAAAACCGAAAACCGAAAAACGGAAAACCGAAAAAAAATCGAAAATTTTAATTGGATTGGATCGGTTTTCGGATGAGTTGATGAAAACTGATCCAATATATTAATTCCCTTCTACTTACTTGGGCCTATTCCTAATTATAACCCAAAAATTTCTAAATCGAATACCTATTAACCTATCAACTAAACCCAAGAAAAAAAACCTAGTCACATCTCGTCAATAATATTTCAAAAAAAACCTACATTATCGTATATTGATACTTTTGTATTTCAAAAAATAAATAAATTTACAAATCAATATATACAAAAGTTGTTATTTGCACAATAATCATGAAACAAATTTTAGGATTTTTAAAAAACCGAAAACCGATCCAATCCAAACCGAAAAAAATTGGAATGGATCGGATCAGATTTGAAAAAAAATCCAAACCGAATGGATGATTACATGAACAAACCGAAGTGATTGGATCTGATAATTTTTGCTTCCGAAACCGATCCAATCCAGACCGCGAACACCCCTACTATCAGATAGTTATCTGAAATACAGCCGTTATGCTGTCCGTGAGACTTTGTCAGGAATGATACTTAAGGTCACATACGGATGGTCAACGGTCAATTGAGATGGCCAATGGTTTTAATTAGTAGATTTAGACGTTAATGTCACGTAAATGCAATATATCAGATGAACGCTTGAAAATGTTTTAGAAAATATTTTGGAAAAAGTTAACTCGTATTTTATAAGACGCTTTATTATTATTTAAAATAAAGTCTTTCACTGTGTATGCTAAATATTATGGATGTTAACAACCGGAGTACTACAGGGTGTTACAGTGGTAGTTCTTTCCGATCAGAAGAAGCATGGAAAAGGTACAATGAGCGATTTTATGAGGAAAAGGTACTGCAGTTTTTTTTAGTAAAATGACTATCCGTTCACTTTTGTTTAAATCTTATTCGATTTTTTGCAATTGCTTCATAGAATTGTTTCATTAAAAATAAAGCAACACATTTCTTAGTATTATTTTAGAGTTTTATTTCTCTCATGTTATAGGAGATAACTATCTCATACCATAGACACATGGTGTGGTGGGATCACCACCCATTAAAAAAGAAAAAAGTGGTGGCACATATTTTTAGGTGAGAGTAACATGAGATATTTATCTCATATAAAATGAGACAACAATTTCCCATTATTTTAATCAAGTTTTTACGGTATTATTGAATTATATATTAATAGGGAAAGGTACAATTAATCACAACTAGAGTTTACTATGAAAAACCTGAGTAAAGATTTGTTGGATAAAAACTTAATCCCAGCTAATTTTGAATTCCTAGCTGCCAAAATTAGCTTGGTCTTGAACTGAAAAAGAAAACCCAAAGAAACCACTGAATGGTTCTTAATACCTGATGATCTCGCATAGGATTCCAGTCATGCTCCACAAAGGCAAGGGTATCTGCAGATGTCAGGTTCAAACCAAGCCCACCCACTGCATATGGATAATTTTATATAATTTCAAAAAATTAAGTTACATTTACAAGAGAAATAAATAGGTAGATTGATAAAGACAAGGTGAAAACTTTTTACCATGTGTTGTAAGCAGTAAGACATCAATGGTAGGGTCTGAATTGAAAGCTTTGACAATATCAAAACGCAAGTTTTTGTTGAAAATGTTGAGCATATACCAGAACACTTCATTTTGCGACGTTGGCGCAAGGAAGGAAATGATGCGTTAAGTAAAGACAGAGAAATGTGTTTTCTTAATGGAGATGGATTGGTTCACAGCCTTCACCTAAGCTCTAAATGTAATAGACTTATTGAGCTTGCACAAAGGTCAGATGAAGCATTTCAATTTACATCTTTACTTAACAATGGAGATGATGTGTTAAGCATTTCAGATGAAGCATTAATGGAGAGGATCTATGGAGATGTTTGGCAAACTAGAAAATTGTTTCAGAACTGGTGAAATTAAAACTTTTTATAAAATCCTTCTAAAGTTGCACTAATTTCAAACTATATATAATTTCTCCAAATTTTGGTTTTGGACGGTTAATATTAAATTATTGTTTAAATCTGGTTGTAACATTTTTAAAAAAATAATTAAAGTAAAAAGAGTGAAAGGGAGAGAGAAATATAAAGTAATTAACCTAAATCCCACCTACTCTTACTCTGTTTCTCATACTTATTCTTTCATATACATCTTTAGTTTCCCCTTTATTATGTGTAGGAAAATTTACATTCTTTGATTGCAGGGCAAATGAAACTGGCCACCCATGTGATGAGGCTATGTCTGATGAGAGATGGATTGAAATCAAATGATGAAATCACAAGCCAGACTTTTGTTACTCTTCTTAGTTTACTGGAAGGGCGTATGGCATTTAATAATGTCTTTCTCCGGCACTACCTGTTCTGCATATTGCAAACTATTGCAGGAAGGTAGAAATATGTCTACTATATACTCCTTATAAAAATGAAAAGCTAACGTGCTGATTTTCTTGCTACTTGTTGATAATTTTATTTATTAGTAAATCAATCTGATTTGGAATCTGATATTTTGTAGTTAGTATGTAACCAAATCACTTTCCTACCATTTATGTAGAAATTTAACATTTTGTAGTTGAAATGCTTCATCTGACCTTTGTGCAAGCTCAATAAGTCTATTACATTTAGAGCTTAGGTGAAGGCTGTGAACCAATCCATCTCCATTAAGAAAACACATTTCTCTGTCTTTACTTAACGCATCATTTCCTTCCTTGCGCCAACGTTGCAAAATGAAGTGTTCTGGTATATGCTGAACATTTTCAACAAAAACTTGAATTTTGATATTGTCAAAGCTTTCAATTCAGACCCTACCGTTGATGTCTTACTGCTTACAACACATGGTAAAAAGTTTTCACCTTGTCTTTATTGATCTACCTATTTATTTCTCTTGTAAATGTAACTTAATTTTTTGAAATTATATAAAATTATCCATATGCAGTGGGTGGGCTTGGTTTGAACCTGACATCTGCAGATACCCTTGTCTTTGTGGAGCATGACTGGAATCCTATGCGAGATCATCAGGTATTAAGAACCATTCAGTGGTTTCTTTTGGTTTTATTTTTCAGTTCAAGACCAAGCTAATTTTGGCAGCTAGGAATTCAAAATTAGCTAGGATTAAGTTTTTATCCAACAAATCTTTAATTAGGTTTTTCATATTAAACTCTAGTTGTAATTAATTGTACCTTTCCCTATTAACATATAATTCAATAATACCGTAAAAACTTGATTAAAATAATGGGAAATTGTTGTCTCATTTTATATGAGATAAATATCTCATGTTACTCTCCCCTAAAAATATGTGCCACCACTTTTTTCTTTTTTAATGGGTGGTGATCCCACCACACCATGTGTCTATGGTATGAGATAGTTATCTCCTACAACATGAGAGAAATAAAACCCTAAAATAATACTAAGAAATGTGTTGCTTTATTTTTAATGAAACAATTCTATGAAGCAATTGCAACAAATCGAACAAGATTTAAACAAAAGTGAACGGATAGTCATTTTACTAAAAAAAAAATGCAGTACTTTTTCCTCATAAAATCGCTTATTGTACCTTTTCCATGCTTCTTCTGATCGGAAAGAACTGCCACTACCTCCATTCCACGATGAATACGACAAAGACAACTACAAAGAGTTCAATAATAAGTATAGGTATTCACTGTGAATCTGCGTTCACATCTATTGCTTGTAGTTCAAAAAAAAAAATAGAAATGGAGAGATTAGAAGGATCTGGACGGATGATTTAAAATAGGTATAGGTATTGGTCGCAGAGGGAGAGAGAAAGAGGAGGAGAGAGAAAGGGTACGAGAGAAAGTGAGGATAAAAAAGAAAAAAAAAGATTTTTTTATATCACAAATATTGATCGTTGGATGAGATTGTAATCGAACGGTATTAAGGGGGATAGACAAAGATAAATAATATAAGGGTAGGTAAAATAACATATCCCTATGATAATATATAAAAAAACTATATTTAAAACTAGTTCTGCTTAGGAATAGTTTAGACAAATTATGTCTAGGAAAAGTATACACTTTCCTTAAACAGGGGAAATAATTTTTATATTTTATTTTGTTTTAAATTTTTTCTTTGAAGGACATTAAGACTCTTCTTACTAAATTTTTAATATAGCTGTATATTCAGAAATTCAAAATTATTGATTAAGCTGAAAAACCCTTTACTAATTGATTCTTGTGGGAGTATTTTTCATATTTTATTTTTAATTTACTTTAATAGCTAATAACTAACCATATTCCATGCATATAAAATGCAAAATCCGCTCAACAAAAAAAATAAAAATGCAAAATCTAAGTGACGAAAAAAGTACCCTAACTTATTTTAACATATATTATCCCACGCAAAGAGGACCATACCTTTTTCCACCCCAAAAAAATAGTCTTTCATACGTTTTGATGGGACCCACACGCCCCCGAGCTTACGTTCTGAGTCTGGCGGTAGTTGAAGATCTACTTCTGTTTTGTCGTTACTACAAAAGTTAAAGAGGAAACAAAAAAAGAACTAAATATTGTGGGAATTAGTTGTGTTCCATGTTCAACCACTTGTCTAACAGTTGAAACATAGAAACAAGAACATCATAGTCAATCTGTGGTCTTTGAAAGTTTCTCTATTATCCTAGGTATGTAACAACCTTCCATTTTCACTCTTTTTCTAAATTTGAATTTTTTGATTATGTTTTATCAATTGGTAATGTTATTCTGTAAGTTAACTCTCAAGTGGGTATGTAATATCCCTTGTAAATTTGATTAAAATTACTAGTAGATTTAATCTTAATGATTTGAGGGTCCTAGGTAAATGATACTGTTAGTGCAGTTCAGATAACTGAGGCCTCTTCTCTATATCCCTTCTGTTGCAAAGGTTTCCTAAATCTGTCTTCACTTTAGAGTCAAAGGGTTAAGGTACAAACAATGTTTTGATTCTAGTTGCTTTAAGTTTCCTAATAAAATTTGTCCAAGTGAAATTAAATATCTGTTAATCGATTGATTTATAGAATATTCTTCTGTTTGGTGTTTCTATTGATTATCAAATTAATTGCTACTTGATATTCAGTCTGGGAATAACTGATATCAGAGTCTTAAGCTTTTCAATTGATGGCTGTAGGATTTGCTTTTTCTTATTCAAGTTTAATATATGATAACAGATTATCTGAGATAGACTTCATCACCTTTATGTTTTATTTGTTAGTTTTCTTCTATGCTTATTTGGCATTGAAAAACACTTCCTTTCTTTCAAACCTAAAAATTATTTTGACCAACAACATGATGAGCATACTGTGTTAGGGTTTCTATTGAACCTTGTTAAGAGAAAGGTATGGCACTTGAATGGAGCCGTTGCCAAATTATTTGAATTTCATTTATTTCTTGTTTGCCATTTGAAGATCTTAATACTTTTTTTTGGCACTTTGATCCTTCAACCTCGACCTGCCCTCCTCTTATTCTCCTTCAAGCCTTGTTCTTTTCACTTTTTAGCTTCTAAATTATCTTGATTGATTTTCTAACTGGAGTTTAGAACTAACTTCACATTTATCATTTCATTTTCTTACTGTGTCTATGTTGATGTTTTTTCAAGGTATCTCCAAATGGCTGTAATAATGGCTTTGCATGGTAGTTTTTGTCATAATATAGAGTTGGCAAATCCGCAAAGAGCACTAGACAACCTCAGTTTTTCAGGCTCAATTTCTGTTCATAAATTGTCAAAGAATAAAAGGTCAACATCTGATAAGTCAGGGAATGATAAATTTCCCAAACTCCTGGTGGAGATGAGACAGACAGAATTGCCTCCATCAAAATATGGTATCAATGGTAGAGCTGTTAAATTGGTACCAGCAAGTGAGATAGTGAAAAGAAAGACAACGTCAGAGAATAAAGTGGAGATGGGGAGGGGTTCAAAGCAAGGTGTTAACGGAGCAAGTTTGGTAAGAAGAGATCCTACCCCAGCCTTGACAAAGACAATGAAATCCAGAACCTCTAAAGAACTCCCACCGTTGGAAGAGCTAAAAGTTTTGCCCTCAGATGAAGGCTTCAGTTGGGCCAATGAAAATTACAATTCCTGGCAGAGGTCTATTGATGTTTGGTCTTTTGTTATTTCTTTACGCATTCGTGTTCTGTTGGAAAATGCAAAATGGGCATATTTGGGTGGCTTTACTGAAGAAAAGCAGGTAGGTTCTACAAGTTTTTTTGTTGCCAAATTATTCTCTTCCTGACTTTAATCATTGCTGGAGATATCCTCTCAACATACATTTCTTCAGCACTCAGACTATTAGGATTTTTTTATTTTTTTTTATTGATTAAGTTTCTGTTTGTGTTCACGCTTTGCTGTCATAAAGTACTTTAACATTGCATTTCAGAAAAGCAGAAGGCAGAAAACTGCTTCATGGCTAAGGGAGTGTGTATTACAGCTTGGTCCAACTTTTATTAAACTTGGACAGTTATCATCAACAAGATCAGATCTATTTCCCCGTGAATTTGTGGATGAGCTTGCAAAATTGCAGGTTATTTTGTAAACTTTTTGTTAAAAAAATTTTCAGGCTCATCTGAGATTCTTTAATGTAGAGTTGAAACTTGGATCCAGACTTGATGTATTAATATTTTTAATTCTTAATATAACAATCTTCAGGACAAGGTTCCTGCTTTCTCCCCAGAAAAAGCAAGAGGCTTTATTGAGAGTGAATTAGGAGCTCCCGTTAATGTATTGTTTAAAGAGTTTGAAGATCGGCCAATTGCTGCTGCTAGTCTTGGTCAGGTGAATTAAGCCTGTGAAGACTATCATTTTTCACACTTCTTGTAGTCAAACAAATGATCTTAGTGTATTGATATTAGCAGTGGCCTTCATGTAGTGATATTCACTATAAATTTGACTGCAGCTTCTTTGCAGTACAGACAATCAGATGAGATAATTCAGTTCTTTTTTACATGAATTTTGGGGGCCCTATTTGTAGGTTCATCGTGCTATCCTGCACAATGGAGAAAAAGTAGTTGTCAAAGTTCAAAGGCCTGGCCTGAAAAAGCTTTTTGACATTGACTTGCGTAAGTTGTGCTCATTTTGTTTCTGCCATTTGCAACAACTTGTGATTTTGATAAGGTTAATGTCACCATGGTACCATTGATTCCAAAAGCTTAAGCTCTTAGTTACAAGCTTAGAAAGAGGTATTACTTTTAATGCAACCTATAATGAGCATGGGGATGATGAGCATCAAACTCTACCATTTGGTTGCATAGACTTTGATACCGTCATCTGCTATTTCCCCCAAAATTTTCCTCCATCATTTAATTCCATGACTTCGAGTAGTCCAGTGTCAAGGCAATGACTTAGATACTTGCAGATAATATTGGTCACGTGGTGAAGTATATTGAAAAGTAATTGAAGTTGCAGTAAATTGCATGGTTCCACGGTTCCTTTTTCTTTCAAATAGTGTATAGATAAATGGTAGTTGAACCTAGCAAATGTGTTTTTTTCTTTTCTTTTCCTATATTTTTGGTGGTGGTGGGGGGGGAGCGGGAGTTTGAGTGATGACGAGAAGAATTGTGATAAATAATTTTAAAAGTTGTAGCATGTTTATCAGCCTTTTTTGTGACTGATTTGGTAGGTCTGTTTAGATCAAGCGAAAAGAGCTAGGTTCTACTTGGCTGAGAGAGAGGAATCTTACATGCTTCAATCAGTGCCTGTAATGTACTTCCATACATTGCTGTAACGAAATTCCAAGAAAGGATATGCTTATTTATATGTTGTATCTTCTTCTGAAATCTTAGAAACTTTGTTTCGAAGACTGCTTTATTTTTTCATAATCTAATCTGATCAATGGGTCTGGCTGAGTTATTTTTCAATATCTGCATTGAGCTTTAATATTACCAATTATTGTGAGTTAGTTTTGCTTGTGACTATCCCAATTAGTGAGATTAAAGCTTGATAATTTTTGTAATTATGTTTGTTACTCTAACAAGTTTGCTTGTCCCATCCAGGAAACCTAAAGCTGATAGCAGAGTATTTTCAGAGAAGTGAAACTCTAGGTGGTCCAACTAGAGATTGGGTCGGTATATATGAAGAGTGTGCAATGTAAGTAATACGACCATTGTGTTTAAACAAATTTCACCTTTCCTCAGTATAGTAAAAGTCTAAGTAACTCTTTTTGGGCTTCATTTATATACTGTCACTAGTTACTGTTGTCATCATTTCTAATTCTTGGTACATTGCCTTATATAATTTATATTATCCTGTACATGCTGCTTTTCAGGATTTTGTATCAAGAAATAGATTATATAAATGAAGGGAAGAATGCTGACAGGTTCCGCCGAGATTTTCGAAACATAAAGTGGGTCCGAGTACCTGTATGTTTCTTGCTGTAACACTAAATCGTATTGAATATTCAGCTAGTTTAAGCTTCCTTGAAAGTTAATTTATCCCTCCGACGTTCCTAATCTCCTGCCTAATTTATTACAAACTTATTGAATGTAGCCTGTATAAATTGCCAATGTCTAGCACCAGTTTTAATTTTAATCACATATCCTTCATTTTTGCCTTTGTAGCTGGTTTATTGGGATTATACTGCAACAAAGGTGTTGACCTTGGAGTATGTGCCAGGTTTTCATCTTGACTAGTGCATATTCCTTTTTTTCTTCTCTTTCTTTAGAAGTGGAAGCTAATAATTTTCTTTCCTTGAAGTGTTGTATATGTCATTACGGCATTGAGCTTAGTTTCTTAACTGCTCCTACTTTGATTTTACTTCTGGGAACAGGTATCAAAATAAATCAAGTGGATATGTTAACTTCACGTGGTTATGATCGATTACGGATCTCATCACGTGCTATTGAGGCATACTTGATTCAGGTTCACAGCCTTGTTTCTCTCTGAAAATTGATCTAACATCTGATGCTAAATATGGTCATCTCTAATGTTAAATTATAAAAAGAAAAAAGAAATTGTTGCTTCATGATAGGTGTAAATAAAAATATTCTGAGTATTAAATTTTGCTTGCTTTACAGATATTGAGAACAGGTTTCTTTCATGCCGATCCACATCCTGGAAATCTTGCTATTGATGTTGATGAAGCAATTATTTATTATGACTTTGGCATGATGGGGGAGATAAAATCATTCACACGTGCGAGACTGCTTGAACTGTTTTATGCTGTTTATGAGAAGGATGCCAAAAAGGTCTAGTTTTCCTGCTATACTTGCATTATTTAAAACTTGGAGCATTGTCCTTTCAAATTACAATCTGATATCCTGATAAGCTATTTTGAAAATATATTTTCTTATTTTCTCTGCCTGTTTGTGTCTTCTTGGGAAGCAAAGATGCATAAGATGGTTCAACATTACACGAAACTTGATAGATGCTAAATTATGAAATTTAACCAGGAATTTTAACCGCCAATTAGTAACAGAATAGTTGCATTAAGAAGTAGGATATCTGTGTGTTTCCCACTTTAATATCTTCTGACACTATTTGACGGATAAAATTGAGTGCTTCAAAATTTGTGCTAAGTCGAAGTATATTGATACAGAAATTATACTATAACATGGAATGAATCTTGTGTGATGATAACCTGTAATGAATTTTGTCATCCGATTATTTACAATGTAAATGGTATGGCCACTTTTGCCATCTGATTGAAATCTGTGATATATTGCAACTACAGCATATAAACAATTTTTTTATATAATTTGAGCATTCGTGTGTCATCACTATCCATTTGTTAATGTTAGAATACTAGTCTAGATTCATCAACATATTTAGCACATGTTGATGTTGGAATATATGGTCAATTTGTAATTATGATAATAGCTAATTGTTAGTTGGTGATTAAGATGTAAGTTTGCAAATTAGTTTCACATTGGCACCTTGATTGATGGTAATCACAATTTAAATAACAGAGGAACCATCTTATATGATCTCATCTCGTTACTATTCCATTGTCGAGTTCCTCAATATTAAACTAATTTATTAGGTGTCTTCTATTTTCACTAAGATTTAGTTTCAGGTGTCTGTGTTTACGTTTCTGGCCTATGGTAATCGTTGTTTTCTTGTGCTCATTTGGTCTCATTAAGATTTGATCCAAATCAACCAGAGCTCTGATTTTCTTCCTACTTACAGCTACCTTGCCCATTTCCAGCCATCATTAGTGGATATGTTCACTTTCCCTCCATTTTCTGTGGAATCTCACCAGTTTCATCACGAAAAAACACATTCGCTGATGCTTCTGTTTATGTACTTTCTTGCTCACCTTTTTTGGAAAATAGACATTCTTTGTCTTGAATGCAATCCACATACTGCCCCTTTTTGTTAGCTTTTCCGGCCAATCATTGTTGTGTATCTCTAGCTCTCTTCTTCAGTAACCTCCACAAATAAGGCCAGCTTCCCTTTTCCATCCAAATTCCGACTTAGTCACTGGTTCCCTGCCTCTGACTGCTGTTCTTGCTGATTTGTCTTTCCAGCTATGGTTTACAAAGCTCTTTTTTTCTGTTATTGTGTTTGTGAGAAACTGTTGAGGAAAAAGTGAGACTTGAGAAATTTTGGTATTGCTAAAAAGTGTTTGTAAAGAACCAATTCAATCCAAAAGCTTAAGCTGTTGGGTGAGACTATATTTATGATTTTATATATCTCAACACGCACACGAGAGGGCTTGAAGGGTGGACGATGCACAGGCCCACCTACCTGTGCGAAGAAAGAAATTCCACTAGAAAGAAAGTGGGGGGCGGTGAGGATCAAACCCGGTACACCGAGGCTCTGATACTATGTAAAGAACCAATTCAACCCAAAAGCTTAAGCTATTGGGTGAGGCTATATTAATGATTTTATATATCTCAACAGTGTTTTTTTTTTTCAAACGGACCTTTACACCTATTTATACTACTAGGATTGTAGTTTCACAACTAGGTCGGTAGGTGTAGTTCTTACCTGTTATGGTCATCCAGGAAGAGAGGAAGGAGGAAGCTCAGGGGAAGGATCAGTAACAAGGGTTTCTTCAGCAGGAATGGTTTGAATGTATTTGATCTGATGAACCACTTACCTACATCAGAATCAGTAGGAAAGAGATCAACAGAGGGGTTAGTCATGAGAGGAGTTGAGGTGGAATAGACTTGAACTGGGAGAGGGATGAGAACTGATATCCTCTCAAAAGGAAAACTTGAATACAAAATAATATGTTGTGTATTGATCTAATTTAGAGGGTTACAATATATAGAGACTCTAATGGGCTTAAGTGAAAGGCCCAGACCTAATACAAACCTAATACAATCAGAATTAATTACAGACTAATCATATCTAATCATAATAATTACAGACTAATCATATCTAATCATAATAATTACAGACTAATCATATCTAATCATATTTAATATATTCTAACACTCCCCCTCAAGCTGGTGCGTATATATTGTGAGCACCAAGCTTGTTACAAATATATTGAACCCGAGGACCTCTAAGAGCTTTAGTGAAGACATCCGCTAGTTGATCAGAGGAGTTGACGAAAGCAGTCTTGATTTCTCCTGACTGAATCTTTTCTCGAATGAAGTGACAATCAATCTCTATATGTTTGGTCCTCTCATGAAAGACAGGATTAGAGGATATATGTAGCGCAGCTTGATTATCACAGATGAGTGTCATGGGTTGTTTCTGTTCACAAAGATGAAGCTCCTGAATCAACTGCTTTAACCAGACTAACTCACAGGTAGCATTTGCCATTGCACGATACTCAGCTTCTGCACTAGATCGAGCAACAACAGGTTGTTTCTTGCTCTTCCACGAAATTTTGTTTCCTCCATAGAAGACACAATAGCCAGAAGTAGAGCGCCTGTCCGAGGGTGATCCTGCCCAATCAGCATCTGAATAACCACAAATTTCTGTATTTCCCTGATCTGAGTACAACAAACCTTTTCCTGGTGCTCCTTTGATGTATCGGAGGATCCTCACAGCAGCATCCCAATGTGAATCACAAGGGGAATCAAGAAACTGACTAGCCGTACTAACAGCGAAAGAAATATCTGGCCTAGTCACAGTAAAATAGTTGAGCTTCCCAATTAGCCTCCGATAACGTCCAGGATCAGATAACGGCTCCTCCTGTCCGGGCAATAACTTGACATTAGGATCCATAGGTGTATCAACTGGTTTACTCCCCAACATACCAGTTTCTTCTAGGATATCCAAGGCATATTTCCTTTGACAGATAGAAATGCCCTGTCTGGATTGCGCCACCTCAATTCCCAAGAAGTAACGCAGCTTCCCAAGGTCTTTTGTTTGAAATGTACTAAACAAATGCTGTTTTAACTGACGAATTCCGTCTTGATCACTTCCGGTGAGAATGATGTCGTCAACATAGACTAACAAATAGATACACTTATCAGGAGATGTAATCCTATAAAACACAGAATAGTCAACTTTACTGCGGATTAAGCCAAACGCCTGAACAGCAGAACTGAAGCGACTGAACCATGCTCGAGGAGACTGCTTGAGACCATATAAGGATTTCCGAAGACGACACACCTTTCCAGACTCCCCCTGAGCAACAAAACCAGGTGGTTGCTCCATGTAAACTTCTTCTTGTAAATCACCATGAAGAAAGGCATTTTTGATGTCAAGTTGAAGGAGTGGCCAGTGACGAACAGCAGCAAGGGCAAGAAAGAGGCAGACTGATGCCATCTTAGCGACCGGAGAAAATGTATCGCTATAATCAAGGCCAAAGATTTGAGTAAAACCCTTGGCAACTAAACGTGCCTTGAGACGATCAATATGGCCATCAGGTCCAACTTTCACAGTAAAAACCCAGCGACTACCAACTATAGACTTCTCTGGAGGAGCAGAAACAAGGTCCCAAGTGCCATTGGAATGAAGTGCAGTCATCTCATCAAGCATTGCTTGGCGCCACCCTGGATGGGAAAGTGCTTCACCTGTGGTCTTAGGAATAGAAATAGAAGAAAGACTAGAAACAAAGGTGAAATGAGGTGAAGAAAGACGGTCATAACTCAAAAAGGTATAAAGAGGATAAGGGTTACGAGTAGTACGTGTACCTTTTCTTTGAGCAATGGGAAGAGTCTCTGATGAAGGATCCGGAGGGGAAGAAGCAACAGCAGTAGGCGATGAGTCAGCAAGAGTCGAGTCGACAGGAGGCACAGTTTTGCGATGCTGATAGGTGAGAAGTGGACAGTCCTCAGGTATAGAAGCAATAGGTTGCTCATCTGGAATAGAAGCACCTGCAGCTGGCAAAGACAAGTCAAGAAAAGGGACATGAAGTACATGATCAACCTGTGACATCTGAGATGGGATAGAATTAAAGGGTTGTTGATCAAGAAAATTGACATCAGCGGAAACTAAGTAACGCTTAAGGTTGGGAGAATAACAACGATAACCCTTTTGAAGACGAGAATAACCAAGAAAGATACACTGAAAGGCTTTGGATGTTAACTTATCCTTATCAGGAGTGAGATCATGAACAAAACAAGTACAACCAAAGACATGTGGAGTTAGAGGATAAAGAGGAACATCTGGAAGCAATAGATTATGAGGAATGTCATTGTGGAGCACAGATGAAGGCATGCGATTGATGAGAAAAAAAGAGATGAGTACAGCATCTGCCCAGAAGTGAAGGGGAACCTGCATATGAATAAGAAGGGTACGGGCAGTTTCAATGAGATGTCTGTTTTTACGTTCAGCCACCCCATTTTGTTGTGGAGTGTGAGGACAAGTAGTTTGATGTAAAATACCTTGTGTGGCCAAGAAATTAGAAAAATCAATAGAAACATATTCCTTAGCATTATCACTACGTATAATACGAATAGAAATACCAAATTGAGTATGGATCTCAGTAGAAAACTTTTTATAAATGGAAAATAACTCAGAACGATTTTTCATTAAATAGGTCCAAGTGCAACGGGAAAAATCATCAATAAAGGTAACGAAATACCGAAAACCTAAGACGGACAGGGTACGACTTGGACCCCAGATATCTGAATGAACAAGAGAGAAGGGGGCATCAGCTCGTTTATTGACTCGACTGGCAAAAGAGGAGCGTGTATGCTTCCCTTGTTGACATGACACACAATCTAAAGACTGAAGACCGGACAAAAGAGGAACCATTTTCTGCAACTTTGAAAGACTTGGATGACCAAGGCGACTGTGGATAAGTTGTGGAGATTCTGTGAGAGAGCATGCTACTGAAGGACGAGGCACATCCAGATAATAAAGCCCCCGTGACTCACGACCCACTCCAATCATTTTCCCCGTACCCGGATCCTGCACAGAAACAGAATGGTTAGAGAAAGTAATGGTGCAAGTGAGGGAGTGGATCAACTTACTAATAGAAATTAAGTTATAAGGGATGCCAGGAATGTAATAGACAGATGTCAGGGCCAAGGTAGAGGTCGGACGAGCTTGTCCAATCCCACGAACTGGGGCTTTGGTTCCATCCGCAAGGGTAAAAGACGGTAAATGATCAGAATAAGTAAGAGATGTAAAGAGTTCCTTATTACCACAGAGATGATCGGTAGCACCGGAGTCAAATATCCAAGTGCCAAGTGATGTAGAATGAGAAACACAAGCAACGAGATTACCAGTATAAGGCTGAGACTGAGGAGAAGCCTTCCTGAGAGGGATTTGGAGTGCAACATAGTCCGAACCTGAACCAAATGATGCATTGTCTGACTGAGCTATATTTGCAACAATAGAAGGAGAGTTAACCTCCGAGAGATCAGGAGATGCTGCTGCCATTTAAAGATAAAATATAAAAGCCGTAAACGAAGGCAAACGATATCCAATCAAGGAGAATCACGCGTCTAAAGTCAGACCCACAGAGAAACAATCACAGATCCAGAAAGGGGAGGAGAAGGCGAGCTTCTCTGTCCAAGACCGGCCGGAAAAAGCTGCCGGAGTAGTGCACACGCGCCGGTAGAAGGTGGCGCGTGAGGCCCACGCGCAGAGGAGGTGGGCGGCGCGTGACGGCGCGTGAGGGATGCGTTGGTGACCGGACCTTCACAGACTTGATCGCCGGGAGGAGACGGTCCTGATTGCGTGACGTCTGGTCTGAAAAGTCGCCGGAAAAACGTCTCCGGTGGCCTGAACAGTGGTCCTAGTGGCGGACGGTGGTTCCGGTGGCCGTCGACGGTGCTGACGCGTTTGGAAAATTACTCAGAAGCTGTTTACAGCCCTAGATGGCTTGCCGGAAGGACGCACGGCAAAGAAAGAGGACTCCTAAGCAGTGGGCTTAGGTTTTAAAGCAAAAACAAGGTTTCTAAGCGAAAGCGAGGGTCCTCAGAACAAAAGAGCTCTAATACCAACTTGAACACAAAATAATATGTTGTGTATTGATCTAATTTAGAGGGTTACAATATATAGAGACTCTAATGGGCTTAAGTGAAAGGCCCAGACCTAATACAATCATAATTAATCACAGACTAATCATATCTAATCATAATAATTACAGACTTATCATATCTAATCATATTTAATATATTCTAACAGGAGACAATGCGAGAGATACAAACATGGTAGGAGATGAATTCCCTCTAGCGATAGACCTTGTGTTTAGACCCATAACCAAGAAAGCAACAAAGATGAGCACAGGCTCAAGTTTGGTGTACACAGGATTGAAGAAGAACAAAGCAACTGCAGCCAAAGACTCTCAAGAGAATTGTAATTAGATGAGGTGTGGTGGAGACGTGCGAAGGGAGAAGAGACATTACCTATAATAGAGGAAGGAAGATAGTTGATGACATAGACAACAGTAAGAGCGGCCTCACAAAAGATGAGCATGGCTTGAATGGAATCAAGGATATGACAATATTAATCATAGAAAATAGGGAAATAGGGAAAATACAATCAATTATAATAATACTAATTGGGGTAGCACGCGTAACAGTGGTATGAGCGGCCTCTCCCTGATTGCATAACAGTGGTATCAGAACCTGTGATCATGAGTTTGATTCTTACCGCCCCCAATTCCTTCTAATAAATATTTGATTATGGAATTTTTTAGCTCAAGTAGGTAGATCTGTGCATTATCGACCCTTCAAGTCTATTGAGCTCTTGTGTGAGGGGGTTTGCTAGATAAATCTAATATAAAACTACTAAAGTAACCTTCACTTAATAACTTGAGCTTTTAGGGGAAATGATTGTTTAATAATATCTAACTGGCTAACCAGTGACAATCTCCAAAATAAGGAATCTGAAGTTACACTGAACTTGAACCAGGGTCACTTTCACATTTACTTAAACTTTCAAGTAACAATGGTGTAGGTTATGCAATGCCTTATAGATCTTGGAGCACTCCAACCTACTGGGGACTTGTCATCGGTAAGGAATACAACCACCTTTGCTCTTTTATAAGATATTTGTTTAACAATTTGAAATTAGGATCCATATCTTGATCTTATAAATTTATTAATTTGGCTTGCAGGTAAGGAGATCTGTACAGTTTTTCTTGGACAATCTTCTAAGCCAGACACCAGATCAACAGCAGACTTTATCTGCAATTGGGGAGGTACGTTAGTATCTAGTTATACTGGATCAAGAAATTCTTAGTTCCTTCATAATTATTTTGGATTATTGTTTCATTGTGAATGAGGATAAGCTGAAGATGGGAAATCATTGTTTTACTATGTTGTTCCCAATTATCTACAGATTCTATTGTATACAATTTATTATTGATGGATTTTTGTGGCAGGATTTATTTGCAATAGCACAAGACCAACCATTCCGTTTTCCATCTACCTTCACCTTTGTTATTAGAGCATTTTCTACACTTGAAGGTGTGCTCCTTCTCTTCCTTCCTTCTCTCTCCCTCTCTCCATTGGTGATCATTCTTCGAAGTTTCTTTTAAACATACCCATTGTTTCTTATTAATTTAATTTCACATTATTGTGCACTATAAGATGATAAATCCATCCTTTCCTATGGATAGAGTTGTAGGGACTCCACAATTAGAATAATTGTTTTGCTGATTGTATGATTATTAGGATAGATTATACAGTTAGGACAGATCCTAAATTTTTTTGCCTTACATTTAGCTTTATTCCAGGTACATAATTACTTCTCTAAGTCTTATATAATATATTGACTCTCTGTACAGAGTTATCATTAGAAATAACATTCAGTTATAATTTTCCATTCAAGTTGGTATTTGATGCCTCAATTTAGGAGGCTCTATTTTTTTGGCGGCCGATCAACCTACTTCGTTTATCTACCTATTGTGCCACAACAGCCGGCCTTCATCACAGCTATTTGTTCCAGTTGGTTAACCAATCGTGCCGCAATAGTGAGCCTTAATCACGGCTGTCTTTCCCACTTGCATCCATTTTCTCATCTAGGAACCTTACTGCACCGAAAACCACCAGGCTGTCTCTCCCACTCTCATCCTTTTTTCTTGCCAAGGAACCTAGGTGCACGTCAACCACTCTCATCCAGCTCTCACCAATACACCAAGACTAATTACATCACAAAACCTCCATTCGACTCCATCTTAGTCACAAAAACCAACAACACAACTGCCACAACCCAGTCCCCCAGTTCCTCAATCACTATGTACCTTAATACCAATGGCCTCTTAACGGAAAGATTATTTACAGTGGGCACAAGTCATACATACCACCATTAAAGGTCACCGATGACTAAATCACATTGAAGGTACAACCACTGCTAAAGGTGACCCAAAATTTGATGAATGGGATGATAAGGAGTCTCTTACCATGACGTGGCTCTGGAACTCTGACATCTATAATCAGGCAGAATTGCTTGTTCCTCCCCACTGCCTAAGAATTTGGGACATAGCTCACTGGACATACTCCATGAAACAACATAGCCACTTGCTTTGAATTGGAAACCAAGATTTTTGCCACCAAAGAAGGAACTCTTTCTGTTATGGATTAGTATGGGACACGGGTTGTGGATTGAATTAGATCAATAACAGAATCTAAAAACCGAATGCAACAAGGACACTTCTACTTTGACCCGCTTTGTTGAAATAGACTGAATATTTGAGTTTATCTCCAGTCTTTACTCTTGAGTATAGTATTCGAGTTCAGATTTTGGAGAATGAGAAACTCCCTTCACTTTCTGAAGTGTTCTATATTGTTAGAGCTGTCATGCTTGATGATAACCCTGTTAACAAATCAGCCTTGATAACAGCTAGGTCCGCCTACCTTCAAGCCTACCCAAAAAAGTCATTGGTCCAGCTATTACAAAAAATTTGGTCATACCAAAGACAATTATTTTAAACTACATTGGAAGGAACAAGTCCTCAGTCGTACAGATGGGTTCAAGTGTATCCAATGAAACTTAGCAATTCCGACTTCACCAGATCCAAAACCAACAAATAAGGGTGATACCTATGATAGAGGAAGTTGCTGCCCTAGTAAAGATATAAGGACCTTCATTTCCACTCATTAAGAATTCTGCCACTTGCTCTCTTGGTATGACTTGTAAGAATCTATGTTCTCAATCATTTAATGCTTCTAGTACTGGTTTTGACAAATCATGGGTTACTAACTTTTGTGATACTGACCATATGACCTTTTTCTCCTTCTCAATTTTGGACTTACCACTCTCCTAGTAATCATACTACAACCGAGGTTGATGGATCACGTTCCTTAGCTGTTGGTTGTGGTTATATTCCTATACTTAAAGAATGTACTTCATGTTCCCAAACTTTTGATTGATGTCATTTTCATTCATAAACTTACCAGAGACTTAAATTGTGTTGTAATCTGATTGAAATAAGGGCACAACTTCAAAGATCTCGATCCAAGATCCATGCAATCAAGTTATTAGAGCTCGGGAAAAGAAATTCAAGGAAAAACTCAATGGGTTGATTTAAAAATGTAGTCTTAATCAGATTTATTGCCCATTAAGCATGACTCACATTTTCAAGGACGTTCGCGTGTTTTGAGGGTTAAGATCTGGAATGTGTCTTGAGCTTCATTGATTGCAAAGTTTCTTTCTGTAAAATTTATTTTAATTATTAGTGTTGTTTTTTTCTTAATTGCTTCCTTTTTTTAGGTATGTTCAATGCCCATTTTTTTTTATGTAATCAGCTATCTTAATTTTAGGGAAAAATTTCATTTTTTTTCCCCTTTCTCGAAGTGTTTAAAGTTGATCGGATTGTAATCATCTATTTAATTTATTTTAGGCATATTGAATTTTTGATCGGTTAGTAATTGTCCTCTAAAAAAGCATATATCAGTGAGAATAGAATGAATCAGGTTTTTATTGAATGAAATTTGGAGAGGTTTTCCCTTCTTCATGATCTTAATTAAACTAGGTTTGCGATGGCTAGTTACCCATAAATTGAGGTCTTATCAATCAAGTTGTGATATTGGTTGTGGTGACATAGCTGAGGGCATCAGTTTCTGGTTCCTTCTGCGGGCAAGGGTTATTGTGACAATCACGGGGGTTTAAAATTTATGTCTAAACGATTATGCTAGATCAGTCATTGACAAAAAATCAACCTCTAGTTATTGTATGTGCTTTGGTGGAAACTTAATGACAAGGCAAAGAAAGAAACAAAATGTAGTTGTTCGATCAAGTGTAGAGGCTGATTTTTTAGCTATAGCACAAGGAGTTTGTGAACTTCTGTTGATGAAGATTATATAGGATGATCTTAGAGAAAAGTATGAAGCTGTTCTATGACAATAAAACTGCCATTAGTATCACTCATAATCAAATTCAAATTCGTGACAAAACAAAACACACTGAGATAGACTGTCACTTGATAAAGGAGAAATAAGATTGTGGTCTAATAACTAGTTCATATATTCCTTTGGGGCTTTAGTTGGTAGGTGTGCTAGCTTATAGACTGCCCATAGAGAGTTCTTGGTATCTTTCTATCTAGCTGGGAATGATGGATATCCATTGACTAGTTTGAGGGGGAGTATTGTAATTTGTAAGACTCCATGATTAGAATAATTGTGTAATTATTGTAGATTGTATGATTATTATGACAGATTATACAGTTAGCACAGATCCCAAATTATTTGCCATAGATTTAGCTCTATTCTAAGCACATAGTTATTTCTCCAAGTCTGCCTAATGTATAGGCTCTCTGTGCAGAATAATCATAAAAAATGATATTCAATTTAATTAACCATTCATGTGATTTAGAGTAACCTGTTTGCAGGATCAATAGCATGAGAATGAAAAAACAATGTTTTTTAATTGTGCTTTTTATTTCTTCATTATCTAATCTTTATTTGTCCTTTAATTTTTCTGACAGGCATAAGTTACGTACTCAATCCAGATTTCTCCTTTGTGAAGATTGCTGCACCTTATGCACAGGTTCAAACTGTCTATGACCAGACATTGTTCTCATTCTTAGTTAAAATGTAGTACTCATACATACTTATCTGACAGGAACTTTTAGATATAAGGCAAAAGCAGCGCACTGGGCCACAACTTGTGGAACAGTTTAGGAAGCAAGCAGATGATGTACCACACCTTACCCAAAACTTTCATTTTAGCTTTTCATTCCAGATGATATTTCTTTATAATTCAAAAATCTGATGTGAAGTATTATTTCAATGATGGCATTTTCTATTCACTTACATTGATAACAAGTCTCATGGAACATTTTTAGGCAAGAACCAATTCCATATCAATGCCATATAGAGTTCAAAGAATAGAGGAGTTTGTAAAGGAACTTGAGGCAGGGGATTTGAAACTTCGAGTCCGGGTGCTTGAGGTGAGCAATTTCTTTTCTCTTCACATGGCATGTGTTGCATGTCCAAATATGCAGAATCATACTGAATCTGGTATTGTCCTATGGAGATTAACCATTTCTATTTAGGGCTGATTTGGTGTCTCCTTAAAATTCTGTTCGAAGTAGGTAGTCATTTTGAAATTTATTTTTCTCATTTGAAACTGTGCAACTTGATTTGCTAGTCTGAAAGAGCTGCTCGGAAAGCAACAGTATTACAAATGGCTACTATATATACGGTATTAGGAGGAACCTTGCTAAATCTTGGTGTCACTTTGAGTAGCCAAGGCAATCAAGTTTTTGCCAATGTATCATTACTTGGTGCAGGTGACTTTTACATCATATAGCTTTTCTCAAGATGTTGTTTGATTATGTTCATGTTCATATCATCTTTATTCTTGTGACTGATTGGTATCAAATTGTCCATATGCAGGTGTTTTTTTGACGCTATTTTTCAGGTCCATGCAAAGGGTAAAGAAGCTTGATAAGTTTGAGAAAATGATATAATTTTATTCCCAACAAAACTCATTTCCTTCAAGCATGTGCAAATTAGTTTTATCTCCATTTTCTTACCTTAAACATTAACATTCACATTTTTTACATAAGCATACACAAAGCTAAGTTTTACAGAAACAAGATTGGAGGGTGATGAAATGCAAGAAACTATTCCTCCATGATAAAGACAATATAGTTTTGTAAGTAGAAAAGAAATTTGTCATTTAACCATGAATATTATAGTTAGCTATACAACTTTTTGTTGTCCTCATTTTCATCCTAAATAGTAAATATGGCTTTCCTTTTATTCTTATTCCCAACATTTACCGGGTATTGAACCTATCAACTCTAATAAACCCTCGAGTGTTGAGCACTATGAGCTAATAATTTTTAAGGAGAAACACTAGAGCACTATGAAAACTCTCCTAACATATAGAAAGATTGCACAGGTGTGATTAAAAGTCTCCTTACATATGCTCCTTACATTTTTATTTGAATCAAAAAATAACAATTACAATTCAATTTAATAATTTTTTGAATTTATAATATGATTTTCTTTATTCTTAAAAATATATCTAAATTTTTATATATGATTAAAGAAATCATACAAATAAGTTAACAAGAAAAAATTTATCAATCAAATGATTTTTTTTTTTTTTTGGCTTTAAAAATATTTAGATTGAATTTACTGAGAAGATTTTGTTTTTGTTTTTGTTTTTATTTTTTAAAATTCTTTTCGAAACAATGTTTCTAAAAACTCAATTCTTGTGAATCACTATATAAAATAGTTTTGAAAATAAAAACAAAAATGAAAAATAAAACACAATCAAACAATTCGAGTTTTATGAATAATAAAGGGATTATCTCGTCTCATGTTGCATGAGAGAAGAAATTTCATGTTATAGACACAGTGGTGGGATCTATTATCTAAAAAATAAAAAAGAAAGAAAAGAAAAATATTGCACGGTTGTCGAAGGGTGTGTAGGAAAAAAATTTACCTCATGTGACATGAGAATAATTTTTCCCATAATAAAAGGGGTCATGTTTTGGCTCACGAGGACACGTGTCTCAATCCAATAATAGTATAAACTTATTATTAAATTAGTTTTGGTACAAGAATACGTGTTTATTTTGTTTAGTTTCAAAAAATAAAAATTGTCATTTTTTATATTTTTATCATTCCAAGGAAAAAACACGTAGGATAATTAAAAAAAAATTAATTATTAATATATGGGTTTAAAAACAAATAAAGGAAAAAGTTAATAATATAAATATGAAAAAGTAAATAGCTAAAAGAAAAAAAAATTTATAACAATCGTGACAAAACTTTTGTTTAAGCCCCATTTAGGGTCAAAATACAAATTACGAAAAAAAAGACATACAAATCATGAAAAGAAACCCATGATTTTCCTTTGGAAGAAAATTTTTCAACTAAAATACACATGCTTTATGCATGGAACAAATCTTCACTATTCCTATTATACATATTTTCTAAAAGTAAAGATAAGTATGCACAAAAAAAAAAAAAAGTAAAGATAAGTGAAATTCATGTGACATAAACTCTAACGAAATGGGTAGAAAAAATGTAGAAAAATAATTTTTTATAACATTTTAGTAAGTGATTCATTCGGTCGAAGTTTTCCTATATTTGTATTAAGTTCATGGAACAAATCTTCACTATTCCTATTATACATATTTTCTAAAAGTAAAGATAAGTATGCACAAAAAAAAAAAAAAAAAAAGTAAAGATAAGTGAAATTCATGTGACATAAACTCTAACGAAATGGGTAGAAAAAATGTAGAAAAATAATTTTTTATAACATTTTAGTAAGTGATTCATTCGGTCGAAGTTTTCCTATATTTGTATTAAGTTCATGTGTTAAATTTTTATTTTGGATTTTCAAAGTAATTGAGAATCTACCCTTTATCTGAGAGAATGAGGGGGTTGAAAGTGTATGATTTCTTATACATAGGACTTAAAAGATGCAATGATCCTAGTTACATCAATAAGGAACCCAAGTTAAAATTAAACACCTCGACAAGACTTTGGACCAAGACAGAAAATTATTGTGCTTTCATTCCTTTTTCTTTTTCGTCTTGTTTTCTTCTTCTTTTTTACATGTTCTTCTTTTTTATTTTGAATATTTTGTTTTCAGTTTCTTTCACAATTAAATAAAAATGGGGCTAGTCAAAATGGTTTTCACATTTTCCCTTATTTATTTATTTCTTATTGGATAATATAAATAATAATGGATTTTCACATTTTGTGGTGAGGAATGAGTAAATATTTGAATTCACATACTAATAAGAATGCTTATGACATCTTTCATAAAACCCAATTATTCAGGTATGCAATGGAATGAGCATGTAATAAGCCATAATACCTAAAATAAAAGATAATGAATGCAAATGACACAGCATATAAAGTGCAAGAGGCCAAGAGATAATAGTGCCCAAACAAAAATGATAGAAAATACAACAGTTTTCGTTGTTTGAATACAAAGAATATTCACTCGATTGAAGAAGAAAAGGAAAGGGCGCACAAGATCAAAAAGTATAAGAGTAAACAGGTATGACGGGCAGGTCTATGATTGCATCACGAGAATAATGTACACACAACTCAAGCACATAAAAAATTGCCTCCATTAACGGTCCAACAACCAAAAGAAGTGTACAAAAAAACGTGTCCTACCACCTGAACAAGTCTAGAAAGGTTTCGAGTGGGAAGGAGGGATCTTATACAAATAGAAAATCCTCTCTCTTGAAACAAGTTCTATCATGTTTTATATTCGATAAATGTGCAGTAATTGAATTTGTACCCTAATTATTTCTGAATGAAAGAAAGATGAGAAGACGTCGAAGAAAAATATACAAAAATGGCCTTGTAATCATTACAGATTATGTTTGAATTCCCTTTTTCACAAGCATATCGTAAACTCTATCAACCTTGCTTGCCTCTACCTTAAATAGTGTATGTGCATCAGATTTCTTGGTTACCTTGCCCTTTGAAATTTCTAATGACATGATCTGCAGCATGTTAAGATAGTGTGACGGTAGTAGTCTGATCTCATTACAAAGCTTTTTCTCCTGCAGGTTAATCATTGTCAAACAACCAATCAGATAGAACACTCCTTCCAAACCCACCCCTAAAATAAATACAGCCAGCCCAATGCACAAAACCCCCACATAAATAAATAAAAGTCAATCAAAGCTAATAGAAAGTGCTATAAAACAAGGGGAGGATTCTCACAGATTCAGATAGTGATTCAGCTCCTGCAAATCCACTGATATCCCATTCTTCTAGCGACCTTGTGATAGCTTGGACGGCAGTAGGTGGATCCTTGACACCAGCAAATGAAGTTGTAGTCCCCTTATGAAGACCCCGTAGGCTACTATCAAGTTCTCCTTTGAGATAATTTGGCTTCTGTAATGTCTTAGCACCGGTACCAGCCTGACCACTTTCTCTGCAGGCACTTTGTTCAGCTTCCTTTGTTCGCTTGTGTTCAATAAATCGATAAGCTTCAGCAGTAGTTACACAGCCAGCAATTCGAGATTCCTACAACATATTTTAAATGGAAATAGCATCATATATCAGCACACTTTAACAGAAGTGGCTATAACAAGTATAATTTTATCAAGGTCAAAATTCAAGAAACCCCTCCAACTATAGGTCATGCAGAAAACCTCCCATGCTTTGAAACTCACCAATAGAGCACCCTAGACTAATCAAAACTGTTATACTACCGCATATTAAACCCCTCACGCATAGTGCAGAAAACACTATTGTTGAGTTCTGAGAGTCATATTAGTGAATTTCAAAGGAGAGCTTGTTTTCTGCATGTGACCCTAGTTGGTTTCTTGAATTTTTTCCCGACAGTATTTTAAGTCGCCAAAAAATTTTCCGGGATATAGTCTTTGTCAGGGATATAGTCTAAAACAACTACAACATTACTTATTCAACAATTTTTGAACCAAAGATCTTGGCAAGCTTCGTTATTTCTTATAGACATCGAGGTGGCACAATCTAAACATGGCATTTCCATCTAGCAAAGGAAGTATGCCTGTGATATCTTGAAGGAAATTGGCAAGTCTGGGTGCAAGCCTGTTAATACACATGTGGATCACTTGGACAAAGGGAGCCATTGACAGATCTTGACTACTATTGAAGACCAGAGGGAAGTTAAACTATCTCACTATAACAAGACTATATATCTCTATTGCAGTGAGTGTGGCAAGCCAATCCGTTGACTCTACATTAAGACTTTCCATTCATATAGATGTTCCACTTCAGGATAGTGTGTTTTCTTATGGGGAAATTTGATTTCTTGAAAAAGCAAAAAACAAATGGTGGTAGCAAGATCAAGTGCAGAAGCTGAGTATTGAGCAATATGAACGGCAATTTGTGAGTTTATCTAGTCAAAACAATTGTTTAAAGAACTGATTCTACATGAGCAACGACCATTGAAGTTAATTTGTCATAATCAGGCCGCACTACACATACCCCTATAATCCAATCTTTCATGAAAGAATAAAAAATATTGAAATTGACTATCCCTTTACCGAGAAAATATCCAATCAAGGGAGATCGAAACAGCATTCGTAAATTCACAAGGTCAACTTGTAAATATTTTCACAAAAGTTCTTAGAGATCCCCAAATTTACTATACACGTAGCAAGATTGGCACATACAATAAATATGCACTAGAATGAAGGGGAATATTAGAATGTATATAAAAGTTTAGTTATTAGTACCACATCGTGTAAATGGGGCCCAAATCCATGCATCTCATAATTATAAACATTAGGCTAGTATTAGTATGAAGAGGGAGCCGTACTTTGTAATTTTCATATCATATCAAATCACTTACAACAATATGATAGGATTCAACCCAGAAAAATAAGAGAATTAAAAAGAAAATAGTATGACTCTTGCATTAACCATAAAACTGTGATACAAACAGAGACAGATTACAAGCAATGAAGAACTAACACATGAAGATAAAGAAAACAAGGATATTCCTGAGCACCACTTTCTTTTATAACAGCCACATAGTCTTCACGTTGCCCATGCTGCTTATCCATTTTCTCCCTAACTTCCTTATTGCTGACTCAGCCCAATTGCTTTTCATAAATTGACCTTAAGCGGTATCGTATCAATACTCCCCTCTTTTAAGCACCTTGTCCTCAAGGTGCGGTTTAGTCAATAAAGAACCACCTCCTGGATCCCACTGTTTGAATTGTAGGACTCCATATACACACCAGTTTAGACAATTTCCACCTGGATCCCACTGT